GCTGTAAACAGCGCTAGTGCAAAACAGGGAGTCGCCTCTCACCAAAGGTGAGGCGCGGGTTGCCTATGAGGCAAGAGACACGCAAACCGTGACACCTTAAGACGTCGCGGGCAAAGAGAGAGGCAGAGGCTGCTAAGAAAGAGCGTCTCAAACAAGAACACAACGCAGCAAAAGCTATACAATCATCCCAATCAGGTAAGCGCGCGACATTAAAAAAGACACAGAAGAAGCCTCGGAAGCAACAGAGGCTTCGTGTGGGTGCTAGGCGTGGTGTTGTTGTGGAGGAGCCGGCACCTGCACCTCGTACTCACACCACCCGCAGCGGCCGCACCGCAACTCAGAATTATTAATAGAGCTTGCAATATTACTGCATAAGTTTGTAGATACTTAGAATTAATTTTGGCTATAACGTAAACCCCCAGCACCCGGGCCAACCCAGCACCCGGGCCAAAAAAGCTTGGCAGTACCAACTCACGTTACAACTCTTCAATTTCATCGCTATTTAACATAGAGCCTGCGTACGCTGTGCTCGTATCTGATTCAGAATATGCCTCTATATCTTTTTTGCACGTTCGCGCGTTGTGTCCAGTCCCTCCACAGTTTCCACAGCGCTGTAGAGCTGGTTGAGCTTGTTCTTGATCACCACCACCACGAGCCTTCTTCGACCGCTCAGCGGCTACAGAGGCCTCTGCGGCCACCTGAGCTGCTGCCTCACCATACTCCATAGTACCACCTTGCTAGATCCGCTTCCTTTTGCGCGATTTCCGCTTAGTCATTACTGCTAATTGCTCTTCAAGCTCAGTAATCCAGGCTGCTTGAAGCGCGTTCTGATGCAGCATAAGCTCGCCGCCTCTAACAAGCTGAGAGAAGCCTGCTTGCGCAGTAATAGGCGACTGAGTAAAAGAATCGCGTAGGAGCTTCGACTGAGATCCAAACTTGTGGGTATTGCTTGGAGTCTTCGACTGCCACGGCGTCTCTAGGAGGAGGGGTTCTGGCAGGGTACGCAGGCGCACTTTAAGGCGATCTAACACGACCTGCGCGTTGAGAGGGACTAGCCCTGCTGCCTTAAAGGCCTTGCGATAGTTCTCTGCTGTAAACACGTTAAAAAACGCGTCCTTAAAAGCAGGGAGAAAGCCTTCTTTGTTAATGTGGAAGACGCGCTTGCGTACTAAGTCTCGTACGCGCTGAGAGTACTTGCGCTTTAACAGCGAGAAGCAGACTACATCAAGTGGCTGGAGGATGTGCGATGAGTGAGGTGGCATTTAGAGGGTAAGTATCATGTTTTTGAGGCAGTAGTCCTTAAAATCCTGGTTGAGGTGGCTCTCATGGCCGTCCAAAATGAGCAGCCTGTACGCCCCCACCTGGCTCGCCTTTGTATGCGCGTCGAAGTGCTTCAGCCACTCAAGGCTGAGCGCGTTGTTCGTCCAGCCGCTCTCGGAGACGGAGAGCTTCCAATTGCGTGGTATATCTGCCTCCTCGTACCAGGCAGAGATGTGAACGCGTCCTTTGTAGATGATGAAAGGCGGGGTACAAGATCTAGCAGCGCAGACGCTCTGGATGACTGTTACCCACTCGCGATCACCTGGCTGAACGAGCTGAGGTCGATTACGTCTCTCTGCGCCTGTGACAACCTTTATTGAGCCAATAACACCCATCTGGAAGCCAGTCTTGTTGAAGTTGTGCACGTTGTGGTTGTGTACGCTGTATTTAGCTTTTGTGTCCTCTACTAGCTTAAACCACGCGCTGATTGTCTCTGGATCCTCCTGCAGCATCCTCTGCCTATCTTTGGCTCGATTGAAGGCCATCTTGAGCTCAGCTGAACGCGTTACGAAGCGCTCAGCCCAGTGCTTGCCAACAGGCTGTCCACCGCGTACACCCAACAGTTTGTCGGCCATATCTGCCACCTCGCACAGCTGGGGCGCGAATCCTCGCGAATCGAGGTCAAGAATGTATTGTATGATCATTTGCTCTTTGGTGCGCGTGAGCTTATGTTGTGCGTTGCGTCTATTGTCAATATAGAGTCTGCCTCTATACCTAGCACTCAAGGTTGTACGCGGTACGTTGAATGCCTGAGCAGCGCTTTGGAGGCTTTTAAATTCATGTAATTAGAAAGTAGAAAGGGCAAGATTAATTCTACCCTCTTGTTTAGATAATTGCGCATCTTGTTGGCGAGGCATTACGTGTTAATATTAATAGTTGTGGTCTTGGCAAGAAATGGCCCGGGTGCTGGGTTGGCCCGGGTGCTGGGGGTTTACGTTATAATTAATGCTTGTTGTTGACTTATACGATCTTTTTTGTGAGTTTGAGATGTCTGAAATTGTTGCGGCAAACGTAGCCGCTGTATATCGATGGAAAACTGCGCTGAGTTGCTTGCTAGCTAGGAGGCGACCATATATACATGCCCTGAGACGTGCTAGTCCAAGGTAGTCAACGGAGGTGACGATCGAGGCCTGTCGGACCGACTTGCACCGCAACAGAAATTCGTGCACGAGCCCGAGCCGTGCACGAGCCCGGCTGACACGGTATAACGAGTGTATTGTGTTCTGTTGTTGTCGTGTTGCTTGCATCTTTGCTCTCCAAGGCTCGCTGCGCGGTCTGTTTTGATGACGTCTTTGTGATGCAGCTGAGGTAAGAGGTGCTCAACAACATGAGGAAGTAGGACCAGACCACCGCCAACAACACGTGATCTGCTTCTCCTCTCAACCGTTACAGCATATCTTTGCTTTTGCACCAAAATATTTAGCGCGCACAGCCTAGCGTGAGCGCCTTTCTTTGTATTTTCAGAGTGCCTTTCTTTGCTCTTAACAATGTGGCAACCTAATGCAAATTACACACAGCGTGCGCAACCTATGTTCTAGTTCTATGTGTCATTTGCAGCTCCAAAGTGTAACGACGCAGGCAAGAGAGATATCCGGAATAGGTGTGAATCCGCTACGAGGCATATGGGAGTGCTGGGATGATATGATTTGATTTGATTTGATTGGGTCCTACACGGTTGCAGCCGCGAGAAGCAGCTATGCCCGGATGACAGGCTTGACGGACAGCCGACGCGGTGCGGACGTTGATCCGCGCCGCCCCACTTCATCTCTACGACCATCTGCCCTCAGAGGCCTGCCGTTTCCCTCTCATCACTATCTACATTTGGCTCCCAACCTTATCTAGATATTGACTCTACTAACTGAACCCTGTACTTCTAGGCTTGTAGAGGCACAATTGCCTCGTGTTCTGCGTCTGCGATACCTTCAGTCTCCCCCCAGCGCTCGGCTGTCGTCTTCGCGCCTGCGATCCCCATTTTGCCGAAGGATCTGCGTCTGCTCTATATACTTGATGGCTTTGGTGGCTAGCTGTGGCGTGCCTAGGATAGTCCGGATGTTGTTTCGTCCGGACAGGTTGGCGAAGATGCGGTTCCGGAGGTTCCTGCGCTTGTTGCAGTAGAGGAGGATGTGCGCGACAGTCTGTCGTCTCGCTCCACAGTCACAGCGGGGGCTGGTGACGTCTGGCACTCTTCGGGCGAAGAGGAAGTCGTTGAGGCCAATCTTCTCAGTCCGCAGCTGTACCAGCAGCGCGCTTTCCTGTTTTGTGAGGCCCTCATGGAGCCGGAGTATCTTCTTAGTAGGCGTCGGTGTGTGTCTGTATGTCGCTCGGCCTTTAGTGTCTTTACGCCACTTTGCTATCCATGCCCGCTCTGCCTGTGTCTTGCACCATCTCTTCACCGTCGACCGTATGGTGAACAGCTGGGGAGGCGGATCTGCTGGCTGCTGACTGCGGCCGTCCTCCCTCCATCCGGTGGCTTCCTTGGCCGCTCTGTCGACGGCCTCGTTCCCGGGTATGCCCACGTGGGCTGGTATCCATCGGACGGTTACTGTCCGTCCGTTGTCCTGGAGCTCCTGGACCTGTCTCGCGATGTCCGCAAGGATGTAGGCGCCTGACCGTCCCTCCGCCTTGGCGATGGACCAGATGGCGGCCTGGTTGTCTGTGTATATAGCGACGTCTTGTCGCGCCCCGTTCCGGCCTGCATATTCTTGTGCGATCTGCAGTGCTAAGCTGATACCTTGCAGCTCTGCTGCGTATACTGTTGACGCAGTGTCTAGGACCATGTGTACAGATCGTGTCTGTTGTGTGAGCGGACACAGTGCTGCAGAGCCTATCTCGCCTTCGATGCCGCTACCGTCTGTGTATATGCTAAGGCTGCTGTCCTTTGCGCGTTCTCTGTCATGTCTCTCCCGTGCCTTGTCAGCAGTTAGATCGATGTAGGTGGTTGGACCTTGTCTCCAAGGTGGAGTAAGGAAGCATGGGATCTGCTCTTGCCTATCAAAGTCTTGGGTTCGTCTCCTCATTATGTCGCTGTGTACCTTCTCCCAGGAGCTGATGTGTCTGATACGGGTCTTGTCTACGGCTGTCAGCTCTGCTGTGCTTGTCTGAAACCCTGAGGTAGCCGCGATGTCCCTACTCGAAAGTAGCCAGGTGACCGTGTCTGCGTTGTGCTTCCATATCTGCTGCTCAATAGGGAGGAGAAATGTCTCTATGTCTAGCGCCGCTCTTGACGTAGCCCTGTACGCCCCGCTGATAACCCTCGCTGCTCTTGCTTGTATACTCTGCAATGTGTTAAGCATCCTTCTGGTGTACAGCTTCCCTTTCATGCTAGCGTTTGACCATATCGAGCAGGCGTACATTATCTGCGGGAGCACGGTGCCCTCATATATTCGCCGCAGGTCAAGAAGACTGGCGCCCCAGTTAGACCCTCCTAGGCTGCTGAGAGCGTTGATTGTCTTTGTTGCTTTTTGTCTGATCTCCTCTGTGTGTTCTTTCCAGTGTAGCTTCACATCCATTGTTAGTCCGAGGTACTTGCACGTTGCTGCGGGTCGTATCTCGCCCCATTCAGTTTGAATAGGTGTCGCAGTGTTGATGCGTTTGCGTGATCTCGTGAAGTGAGTGAGCTGGAACTTGTTCGGAGCGAAGACTGATGCGTGTGTGTTGGCCCAACGCTGTGCCTTCTCGAGTATCCTACCCAGTGTCTCGCATGTTTGCTCTGTCGTCTTGCCCCATGCGAGGATGCCAACATCGTCTATGTAGCCTGTGGACATAATGTCTAATGCTTAGTTGCATTCGTCTATCAGGTCAGCATTGTAGAAGAGGTAGAGGATAGGTGATAGCAGTAATCCCTAGGGTATGCCTGTGTTAATTTGATACGCTGTCGACCAGAAGCCGTCAATTGCGATGCTCGTATGTCTACTGCTGAGAAAGCTTGCGATCCACTTCACTGTCTTCTTATCCACTTGCCTCTTGCGTAGATCGTGGAGCAGGCGTATGTGCGAGACGTTGTCAAAGGCGCCAGAGACATCAAGGAGCAGGAGGCTTGCTACGTGACTAGTGTTCTGGCTCCATGTTTCGTATATCTTGTGGGTGACGGCATGGAGAGCATGCTCAGTCGAGCGCATCTTCCTGCCGCCCATGTGTGTCGGTGGTAGGACGTGATAGGTCTCGGCCAGGTAGCTGAGCCGTCGCGCTATAACTGCATCCATGATTTTGCCTATGGTGTTTATCAGCGCAATAGGTCTGTACAATTTCGGTGCTATGTAGTCATCCTTGCCTAGCTTGCGTAAGACTACCGTCGTCGAATCACGAAAGTAGGCCGGACAGTATCCTAGATGTAGGCTCTGGTTGAAGATCCTTGTCAGGTGGGTTGCAAGCTGGGCTGTTCCCGCCTGTAGGGCTTTGTTAGCGATGCCATCTGGGCCAGGTGCCTTGAGCAGTGACGCTGCTTGGATGGTGTTTTTGATCTCCTTCTCTGTTCTCTGTGGCATGTCTATCTGCTTATCATATTGTGCGTCTCGTATGTCATCCAAGTCTGCTTCTAGTGGTGCTAGAAAGAAGGCCTCACAGAACACATCTGCTTTGACTTTCGGGTCTGTCGCCTCCTGCTGCGTCTCTGGGTGTCGTATGGCGGGTGTGATTATTGGCGCCTGATTCCCCCTTGTCTTCGCCCATTTGACCAGTCTCCACAATGCCTCTGGCGACTTTGCAGCCTGCTCAACCTGTTCTCTGTGAGCATTCCTTAAGGCCTTCTTGATTGTTCTTGCTTTGTGGTTTCTTGCTGCGCGATAGGCCTCCCACGACTCGTCTGTGTGACGCTGGCTGTGCACTCTCTTAAGTCTCTTTGCTTCTGTGAGCACTGCGCTGCACTCTTCCAACCAACCCTGTCTCACATGATCTGACGGCCGTGTGTATGGTATTGCTTTGTCAATGGCTCCTTGAATTGCCTTGACGATCTCTTGGACGTAAGCGTCAAGCGCTGTCTTGGTTGCAGGTCTGCGAAGTGGCGGCAGAGCCCGTTTCAGCGTCTTGTAATAGGTCTTCTCATCTAATCGTTTCCAGTCTCGCCTTAGTGTTACATCAAGTTGCTGTATCCTCATGTCTATCACAGTACTAATGGGCAGGTGGTTAGAGTCGTGGTCAAGGTCTCAGTCGACCTAGCTTCTAATCACCTAATTGACCAGACCTAAAGTCGCTAGGCAAAGATTAATAGTTGTGCGTGCAGCTCCTGCTTCATATGTAATAGTCCTAGGAGGCAGTGTATTGCTTAGGTTGAAGTCCTCTATTATTGCTAACAGATCTGCAGACTCAGGGTCGGTGTGTCTCACGTTTGCGCCTCCCTACATGGGGTGGTGCAGGTTGAAGTCGCCAAGCAGTATCTGCTCATTAGATAGATTGTTGTGCAGTGTCGTACGGACGTCTGTCAGCACGGTGCTGTCGCTCTCGCTGCGTCTTGCTAGGTTGTAGATGTTGTGTATGGTAATGTGTTGTCTCTCCTGTCAGTCGTCGCTAAACTCTACTGTGAGCGAGCAGATGTCTCTGCTGTGCTCCTTAAACTGCCACTTCTTATAGTCTAGTCTTTTGTTAATAAAGAAACAAACCCAGGCAGGTCCTGCCTCATCTCCTGCTGGGCAGCAGAGGTGGAAGGCGCGTTTCGCTGGATGGTGTGTCGTCGCCGCGAAGGGGTTCCTCCATGGTTCCTAGATGGCCAGAATATCGTACTCGTGGATCCTAGGGTCTCGCAGCATGCTCGCCATCACTATGTCTCTTGATCTGTGTACGTTGTACTGTAGTATGCTTAGTGTGCTGTGTCTATTCATGCATCTTCCTCAGAGTCAATCTCCATGTAATGACTGCTGTTGTTCTGTATCGCTCGGGTGTTGAGCCCAGTTGATTCCAGAGCTCTCCTGCTAGGTATGATCTGTCAACGCGATCTTTGGCTCGTGCTTGCTTGTGTCGCTGGGACCTCCTAGTCTATTAAGTCAGCATTAGTTCCTGCATTAGTTCTCTTCTGTCCTCTTCCTGTTTGCGATCAGTTCCTGGTAAGCTGCGTCAGCTGCGTAGATGCAGTCGGTTGACTGGGCCGTCTCCTTCAAATTGTGGACGTCGGGATATCAATCTGCACGTTTTGTCTGGCTGTTTGCGGAACGTGGTGATAGCGTGGCCGCATCTCGTACGCGGTCCTTGCCTTGGCTATCTCGTCCTTCCTGGTTGGGCACTGGCGGCTCCACGCTTCGTGCTCGCCGCGGCAGGCAGCACATTTCCTAGTCACGGCTTGTCCAGCCCTCGATGGGCAGTCGCGGGTGTCGTGCTCCTGCGCACAGTGGCCACATGCTGTTGCTGCTTTGCACTGGGTTCCTATGTGGCCGTATCTTTGGCACTTGAAGCACTGCTTCACTCGGCACTGTCGCTCATATCGCTCGCACTGGAAGACCTCGCCCTGCCAGACCAGACCTTCGTCGATGATCTTGTTGGCATCCTCTAGTTTGGTGAACTCGATAGTGATAGTCGTTGCTGTCTTAGCAGCAGCGTCTCTGGTAAGCCAGCCTATGTGTCTTATCTCCGCCCGGGGTATGAACGGTCGGTTGTCCTGCAGTATTTGCGCTCTGATCTCGTCAAGCTTGCTCATGTCCATCGTGCTCGTGCGTATGCCGTGGACGAGGACGCCGAACGTCGGGATCTGCACTGTAGTCCCACTGCCAATGCGGTGGGCCCAGTCGTCCGCAAACTGTCGTAGCGCCTCGACTTCGCTGCTGCTTGCTGTCTTGATGCTCAGGTCTCCGCTCTTCAGCTGGTTAGATGAGACAATCTTCACGTTGACTATGTTTTCATTGCCGCTTTGCTCAATAGCACGCTGGACATGCACTTTGAGGTTGCTAGGATTCATAGCTCTCAGGCTCTGTATGGTGAGCGGGTCTCTAATATACATAATGACCTCACGCTGCGTCTGCGCAGGTGGCTGTTTGACACTTTGTGCATTGTATGTACCTGCTAGTGGGACACCCCTAGCTGCTGCTGCAGCGTAGCTCATTGGTCCGTTCGCCTGCTCTTGTGGCCTTTTGTTCCTGATCTCTCGCGCGATCTCTGGCGTCGCTTTACCCACCTCTGTGGCGTCCTTGGCTGCTGCCCTCGCCTCTTCTGCTGTGTTGCCATTCTGTTGTATCTTTGTTGCGGACTGTTGTACGAGTTCTACGGTGGACTTGAGCTCTTGCTTGATCTGGTCGAGGGTCTGCGCCGTGCTTTCTGCCGTTGCTCTGGCCTCAGTTCGCGCGACGTTGAGAGCGTTGCTGAGGCTGCTAAGGTCGGGGGAGTGCTGCGTCTTCAGTACGAACGTCAATGCGCCTCGAATGATGTCGCCGACGATGTCTGCCGGCAGAGACTGCTGGCCTCCGTTGCGCTCGATCAGCGACAGCACCTCGCGAAGGAAAGCGCTGAGGTTGGTAGCATGCTCGTCTATTGGGATGGGCCAGGTCGACCGTCAGGGCCACGGTGTCGCCATGACGCCTCAGCAGCAGTGGGCGCTACTTCTGAGTGCTGGCTAGTCGAAAGCCGTCTCTAGCGGACGTTTTGCGCGCGTTGAACTACGTTAATTCCAAAAAGTGAAATTCTCGCTGTTGTCGTGTTTTCTGCCATGCTTGCTGCCCCACCAGCCTACTGGTACCTGCCGGTAGTCACGGGCCGGACCTGGTTCCGCGTCAGCCTTGGCACGCTTCGCTCCGCAGCTGACCCACCATTGCGTCTGTTAGGAAGCGGCGTCTGCTTAGGTTGTTTGAGGATACAATAGATGGTACAGAAGAGTATAGAGTGGAGAATGAGAGCGAGATAAATGAGAAGTGATGCGAGGAGCATACAGGCTGAAGCGGCCATGCTGAGAGACCAGGCTGCGGCGGCAGGCTGACTGCCGCCTGCGTCTGCTGGCGCGGGCGGGGTAAAGGCTGAGCTTGTCTTGCCGTCTTCTGTCGGTCAATGCTGCTATCTGAACATCGCCTGAGGAAGTCGCAGCTACAGGCCATACCTTTCCATGTCCTCTTCAAACGCAGCTATGCCACCCTTTTCTGAAGCAAACCAGCTTGTTCGCAATCTGGTGCCGAAACTTGGCGCAGCGCAGAGCGAAACCTTGCCTGGTCAGCCTTCTATCCCACTCAAAGACTTCAATCGCACGAAAAAGTTTCTTGACAACGATCTGTGGTCGGACGACCTTGAGAGAATGGCACCTCGTCTGTGGATACTGACAACCATGTCAAGCGCGAATATCAATTCTCTACACCGCCAACGGGTCAAAGGTCGGGAGATCATTGTTACAGAAGAGATCCGCTTGCATCTTGTGTGGATACACGATCGCATATTCATCAAACCTATTCCACGTTATCTTCTGTCCTATGGTTTCTGGGAGGCTTACCTAGATCGAAGGCCAGAGCTGCTAACTGACGAACGCAATCTTCGCAAGGCTGCGGCTGGCTTCTTGCGGACATACCGCTGCTTGATTAGGCATGAATCCGACTTTCATCTTGCTCAGCAGGACAGTCTTCGGCTTATCCCCAAGGACGTGGACTGGGCATCTTTCTGTCGCTTTACCTCAGACCTCAACGACATTGAAGACTCTGCTGTATCAAGGCGGTACTGCTTTGGGGAGCTGAGGCTGACGCGACTCAACTTCTACGCTCCATTGCTCCTACGTAAGCTTCACTTTGAGCAAGTACATGGTCAATATAGCGATCAGTTTGCGCGACTCTATGGCCCTGTGCTGTTCGTGTTTGCTGTGGTGTCTACCATCCTCAACTCCATGCAGGTCGCACTTGCAGCTGATCAGTCGCTGACTGTGCCCTGGGTTTCTGTCTGGCATGCGTCGCGTTGGTTTAGCGTGATTAGCATTGTAGGCACCGCTGTTGTTGCCCTGTGCTTTGTGGTTCTTTGGCTATGGATGTTCTTAGACGAGTGGGTGTATACTGTAAAGCAGAAGTGGAAGGCGCGGAGGGCTCTGTTGAATGCGTCAAGATGCTGAAAGACTTTGGCCGTATTTGGAGAAAAGACCGTCTCACAACAAAAGGAGACGCGAGTGCCTCTTACCTACAGAACAACTGAGGCAGCATATAGGAAGATCTCAATTTGTTTAGCAGTTTAGCGCTGCAAGGACTGCACGACATAGCACTCGTGCGCAGGCCAACAATAGATGAGGTTAAGGTACACGACAATACGTATCTGGTCTTACGCAGGATGTGCTTGCAGTCTGTCAGTTATTACCAATCACATAGGCCCTTATTTGAATTAACTGATCTGTGCACCACCCTTATCTGATTAATCAGCTCGCCATCTGTTACAAGAACTATTATAGACCTCTATCTTGATTAGCAGGTCTGTGCACTTGTCGCGATAATAGGTCTAATGTTGCGGTATGAAGAGCAAATGCATATAACGAGTGTATTGTGTTCTGTGTTGTTGTTGTCGTTGTGTCTATGTTCTCCAAGGCTCGCTGCGGGGTTTGTTTTGATGACGTCTTTGTAACGCAGCCAAGGTAAGAGGTGCTCAACAACATAAGGAAGTAACACCAGACCACCGCTAACAACACGTGATCTGCTTCTCCTTCTCAACCGTTACATCTAAACCCCTTTCCCAATTTATTTATCTATGCACTAGCAGCAACAATAATAATAACGCTTAAGCTCTTAAGTTTCTTGTACTTGTAGCGCCATGCTTACTTCTGCGTCTACACTACAACCCTCCACCTAATATGACAGAGCTGTCTGCTTCTAGGACCTAGTTGTCTCTGTTAAACATCACTCACATCTATTGCTTGCGTGCAAGACTTGTCTTGTTGCAGTACCCCTTACTGCAGTCTCTGTCCACTTCAGTACCTTGAAGGTTCATAACTACCAGCCGCGCGATGTAAATCAGCTTCTTAACACCTAGGTTGAACTTTGCCTCTCACCTAGCCAGTTCTTCTTGTCACTGCTGATGATCTAAAGACATGGCCTTATCTAACTCACCCTCCTTACCTGCCTCCTCTCCTGGTGTTGCCAGTCTACTACGCTCGTCACTGTATTTTCTGCAATCCCAAAACAGGTACCCAATGTGCTGTCTTGCAGCAGAGTCACACTGTCATGGCTAAGCACTGCTGCCATAATCATAGATGGGTTAATCCTGTTAAGCGAGGCTGTCCTCCCATTGACGTGGGGACGCACAAATGGCTATAGGAAGCTAACGTACCATGCCAAGCTTTTGTGCCTGGTGGGAGCGGTGTGACGTGGGTGGAGAAGCGGGTGCAGAGATACGAAAAGGCGCTGCGGCTGTTCCGCGAGCACTTGCTGGTGCTTGTGCACATGACAGGTGGTGCGCCTGCCCACGGTACAGAGCTGGTGATGGTCACGCACACCAACATGCCCAACGCAGAGAGCCGCGGGCTGTTCGTTGAGGACAGGCTGATGGTGTACGTGACTATGTACCACAAAGGCATCAGGCAGACCGGCAATGCTAAGGCCATTCACCGCTACCTGCCGCGCGAAGTGGGAGAGCTGCTGTTCTACTACCTTTGGATGGTCCTCCTGTTCTGGCAGAAGCTGGAGCGCGCATCGAGCAGGCGCCACGTCCCAGAGCCCAGCGCCTTCCTATGGGAGCCAGTTAGAGAGGAGGCGTGGGCTGGCCCGCAGCGAAGGAAGAAGCAGCGGCTCGTCGACGAAGATGAGGAAGAGGACAGAGAGGGAGTTGGAGAAGAAGAAGAAGAAGAAAAGGGACAAGGGAGCAAGGGAGCAACAAAGACGAGCGCAGCACCCAGACAGGATCAGGCAGGAAACGCAAGCGAGCAGCTATGAAGAAGCCGCAGCAGTGGGGTACAGACCAAGTGCGGCAAGCCATCGAGCGCGTTACGCTGCACTGGCTCTAGACCAAGCTCAACATTCAGATCTGGAGGCACAACACTAAGGCCACCTTCCGCCAGTACCCTTAAGACAAGGACATCCTGAAGGCGCTCAACTAGGCCAACAACAAGGGAGAAGAGGACGTGGAAGACAACCCAATCGATCTAGGATCTAGGCATGGGTCTAAGTTTGCTAGTTAGATCTACGGCAGGCCCATAGATGAGTCGCCTTTCAGCATCATGGCGCAGCAACAGGCACTCTGGCGGGTCAGCATCGCCTGGCACCGCTTTCTGCAGTTCAGCTCAACGCTAAAGACGCCGCCCGCGAAGGGAACCCAGGCTGCTGAAGCCAGAAAGGAGGCGGTAGAGGAACAGTTCCGGCGCTGGAAGCAGATGCGGAGGGTGGACGTTCAGGCGGCGCTCGAGCGGCTGCAGGGGAAGGGCGCCACATTCAGGAGCTTGCAGCAGCCCGCCATAGAGGCCATCATGAAGCAGATGGGCCCCGTGGTGATGATCATGGGCACAGGCGGAGGCAAGAGCGCGACATTCATGCTGCTGGCGTCGTGCTCCACTGGCGTCACGATCGTGGTCGTCCCCGTGGTTGCGCTCAAGCAGAACATGATGGACCGCTGCAAAGCCGCTGGGATTGACTGCGTCCTGTGGGACAGCCAGCGGCCGCACGAGTGGGCTTCGATCGTGCTGGTGGTGCCCAAGTCTGTGGCCACGCTAGCATTTGAGCAGTTCATCAACCAGCAGCAATCCATGGGCCAGCTGGACCACGTCGTCATCGACGAGTGCCACAACATACTGGACTCAGTCAAGGGCTGGCGGACCAAGGTGCTGAAGCTGCGCGAGCTGGTCAAGGCGGAGACGCAGCTTGTGTGCTTGACAGCGACACTGAAGCCCACAGAGGAGAGCGAGTTCACCTGGCTGATGGCGCTGCCGCTAAAGGAGCAGTGCGAGTGGTTTCGTGCACTAATGAGCCAGCCTAACCCTGCGTACAAGGTGCACTGGTACAACCATTGAGAAAAGAGCGAAGCCGACGTGCTAGCAGAGCTGGTGGAGGAGAAGAAGCAACAATACCCGCTGCCTAGCTAGATTGTAGTGTACACTGACTCCAGAAAGAAAGCGCAGTGGTACGCTGCGATGTTGGGAGCTGTCTGCTACCACCGCGAGGTGGGCACGCTGGAGGAGAAGTTGGAGATCTTGCGCCAGCTCACAGAAGGGACAGAGCATGTGTTTGTGGCGACAAACGCGTTGGGCTTAGGGATTGACAGAGAGACTGTCAGAGCAGTCTTGTTCGCTGGGTTGAGGAACACGCAGAAAATGCGCGACGTGGTGCAGATGGGAGGACATGCAGGCTGCTGCAGGCTTTCCAGCAAGGTCATTTACATCAGAGGCGCCACGTACAGCCCGCAAGGCAAGCGATACGCTGGCAGCTGGGCCAAAGACACAGAGGAGGGTGTGCGCGAGCTCATCGAGGGTGACAGCTGCATAAGAGTCATCATAGACTGCAAGATGGACGGAAACCACACCAGAGAGGGCTACGAGCCAGGGGAAGAGCCGTGCGGCCGGTGCCAGTTGCGGGTGCACAGCGCTGGAGCAGAGGTAGAAGCAGCCGTGGGCGACGAGGACGAGACAGAGAGGGCCGAGTTCAACGCCCAGCTGCAGGCGCGCAGGAACTTGAGCCAGCAGGAGAGGGAGCTGGTGTCGCGCGAGCAGCAGGAGGTGCAGAGGCTGGAGGAGATGCTCGAGTCTTGGAAGGCGTGCTGCCAGTGGTGCCTCTGATGAAAATGACCTCGCCGGGAAGCCTGCCGCAGCCTGCACGTCCTCCCATCTGCCAGTGGTGCCGGGCGAAGGAACATGCGGACGCAGGCCAGCACCAGCTTGCCCACTGCAATTGACTGCAGGCGGATGAGGTGCGCGATGGAGTGAAGGACGTTGCGAAGATGGTCCAGGAGCAAGCGAGGCCAGGCTCCTGCGGGAGGAGCAAGAGTCCATGTCTCTGAGCAACGAACTTGAGCATGACGAGAAGACTGACTAGCTGCGTGGCTGCAGCTGGTCGCGCTGGTTTGCCCACAGACCGCTCCATCTGATCGTTGCGACTGCGAGGCTACCCTCCTCCGCTAGTGAAGGGGCTCACCTCGGTACCTGGAACTGTATAGAATAGGTCCACTGTGCATCTGCCGAGATAAGACTTCAAAAGTTACTTAGAGTAGCTGCTCTTGTGATGGATCGTTGCGAGGAGACGCTTCAACAGGCCTAGCCCATAGTTTGCTAACAGGCTCTTCACCACGCACACTAAGTATCTTATCAGCCATATCTGCCACCTTACATAGCTAGGGCGCAAATCCTCGCGAATCAAGGTTAAGTATACACCAGACAATTGTCTGCTCCTCTAGTATAGTAAGTTTCTAGCAATTAGCGCGTACGTCTAGTTAAAACGTGATATTGCGAAGGCGATCAGAGACCCGCTGATGAGTTACGTTCAACGCTCTAGCAGCGCTGCGGATACTGCGAAATTGGCCAGCGTAGAAGGCCTAGATAGCAAGGATAACTCTGCCTTCTCTAGTAGTATTCTGAAGTTGTTGTTGTTGAGGCATGTTGTGTTGGGTAAAAGGTGGTCGTGCCAAGAGAAAGTGGCCGGTTCGGTGATATGGCCGGCTCGGTGATAATCTACGTTAGTGGTTAACTGCTCTAAAGGAGTTTGGAGCGCGTAGTGATGGAAAGAGGGGAAAGAAGCTAGTGCGCGCTGAAGGAGGTGAACCATCCCAATGACGCTGTGGACAGTGCGGAGAGGGTGGACACAACGCGCGAACGTGCAAGAATGATATTAAAGAGGTCTCTGAGTAATATTACAGCTTGTTTTGCCTTGTGCAGCGCCAGTTTGTGGTGTTTTGGGCCATAATAGGGTTTGATGGGGGAGGGTCTTGGCAAAAGTGGGCGACTCGCCCTGGTGGGCGACTCGCCCTACACCTACGTTAATTGTGTTGTGTCTGCGTGGTTCTGCTACAGGATGACAGCAACGCAGCTTAGGTTGGTGCGGGCTCTAAGGCCTCTCGGCCAATTAGGAGTTGCCAGGTCTTGCTTAACTTACTGGGCAACTTCTGATTGGTCGCACCGCCTGATAGGTCCCTGCTTAATTGTAAAGATCCGACCTTGCTCCAGCTCGCTCTATCTAACAAGAGCTTTTATGTGTGGCTCTACAGCTTCGTTTTTATAAGCCTCTGTTGAAATGATTTGGCGCATCTGGTGATGGCGCGCATGTGCTAACTAATTACAGTAAAACGTCTGTGCGCAGGAACTCCCCTTCATCACGTGGTGGGTGCAACATTTCGAAAACGACAATACCGATACCCGTTGTGATTGCTGTGGCATAGGTGCGGCGGAGCTGGTAGTATGGCAGGTTGTGAGCTTTAGAGTACTGGTAACGTTATATAATAATAGGATGTTGGGGTTACCCGTGGCTGTGCGGCCGATGAGCCAGTTCAGCCGATGAGCCACCCCAACGAGATCTCAGCGATAGAAAAATGAAGCTGTAGAGCCACATTCAAAAGCTATTATCGTGAGAAAAGTTGGTGTATTGCTATACAGAGCCTTGCTCTTCAATTGTGCTATTTATATTTGGCTGGTAACCGCGAGTTGCGGCCTCTCGCAGTGATTTTGGGTGGGGGAGACGCAGCTGGCGGTGCAGCGTCAACACGACTTCGAGCAGCCACAACACAACGACGCTTTGTCGGATTTTTTGCAGCACTGTGTGAGACTTTTCGCTTACGCTTGTTGAGTGTATTGTGAGATTTTTGAGCGATTGGAGCGTCGTTTTGCTGCTTTTTGAGCGCTCGTTCGGCAGCCAGCACTTCAGCTTGTGCTTTCTTCGCCTCGCGACGCTCCTCAGCAGCACGCTGTCGAGCGAACTTTGCCTCCTCTTGCTGCTGCTTTTTGTGAGCTGTTGCTACCACCTTTGCCTTTCTATCGCGAGATTTTTGGAGTTGTAGCTGCGCGGCTTCATCGAGTTCTGCAGCTTTGCGCGCGCGGTCGCGGGCAAGCTTCCTGGGACTGTAGAAGACAGCCCCGCCGTGCCAGTCGTCACCGTCTTGTGTAGTCAGTGTTGTCCGCTGCGTTGGGCGCTTCTTGATGACGTTGAGCTCGTGTTGTAGCTCCTCATTTCAAGTGCGAAGAAGCTCATTGTTGACCTGTAGCGAGTGGAGGCTCCGCGACAGCCGCTTGGCTTCAATTCTGGCCTTGTCAGCAACTGCAGCATCAAAAATTTTGCGCAGCTCAGGCCAGCTATCGCCGTCGCCATGCTCTCCAATTTCTGCGTCTTCGTCTTGTTGTGGTGGGTGGTTGTTGAAGCGTTTCAGTACAGCGTCCGCATCCATCGGCCACACGCCTGTAGCTTGAAAACTCTTCAATATGAGCTCTGAGGTCATTGTAGCGCTCCATGCTGGCCAAAAGTTGCTGTAGAAGTCGGGTTTTGTGATCCTCGTGAGGCCTTGGGTTCGTTGGAGGTAGTGGGTGAGCTTCTTAGTGTAGTGCCTTGAAAGCGGCGCAAAGAGGACAACATCAAGCGGCTGCAAGCTGTGAGTTGAATAAGGTAGAAAGACCATAAGGAGGATGCGTTTGGCGTCGCAATACTCTAGAAATTCAGGCGTGAGGTGGCTGCTGTGGCCGTCAAGGATCAGAAGCCGCCATTGACGGCGAGCTTTAGCTGCTGTATAGCGATCGAACACCTACTAAAGCCAGGCAAGCCCCAAGTCATTGTTTAACCATCCCGTCGCTAAGTGGGAGATAAAAACCTGGTGTTGATCAGCAATAAGGTCGTCAACCCAGGTTGATTGAATCCCAGAGGTGCCCTGGTAGATGAGAGCGGGCGGTAATGCCTCTCCAGAAGCGCATACGCAAGCCAGCAGCGTTACCCATTCTCTGTTGCCATCTCTGAGCGCTGCAGTGCGCTCTTTTGACTCCCAAATTGCCTTAGAGACTATCCTTTTAGTGTGACTGTTGATGCCGACAAAGAAGCCTTTCTCATCCATATTGTACGTGTTGCGCTCATCAACGCTGTGCTCACGCATCTTGGAGTGCAATAGATTGAAGTACAGCTCGTACTTGCGCTTGCTGTCAGCTAAAAAGCGCTCACGATCCATCCCGGTGGTCCATTTGGTGGTAAGCTTGTTGGCGTGGCAATGCAGAAACTGAGTAATCCAGCTCTCAGAGACCTCCCACTTCGTAACCGCAGAGGCGACATTTTGCAGCATGCTTCTAGTGGGTGGCAAGCCGTCTCTTGTGCATCTTTCTATGTATTTGACAAGTACCTCCTCCTGTTGTGGGCTGAGTAACTGTCGCTGGCGCGCTTCTTCTGCATTTGAGCGTGTATAACAGTTGTGCCGCCATGACAGCGTTATTTGGTTAACTTTAAACAATTTTGCGACTTGGCGGTATAACAAGTTATCTCCAGCTTTATGCAATTCCAAATATTCAATTGCTTCTTGAATTAGATCTATGGTGGTGGAGTTGTGACGCGTTGAAGTTGTGGGTATCTCAATGTTGTGATGTTCTGGGTGGCTCATTGGCTGAACTGGCTCATCGGCCGCACGGTCACGGTACCTAGGTTAGTGCATTTTCAGATAGTTAAATATAACGCGTTGGGGTGCAGTTTATGCATTGTTATTGGACCTCTACTTTGCAGCCCTCGGGCCCTGGCAGCGATCTGAAAGACGAACGGTATCCCAGTTATGCATTTAACATCCAACAAATTTGGCAGAGCTGGAACTCTCAAGATGTCAGAATTCCACGCAACGAGAACCAAGTGGCACACTGTGAAAGCCGACGTCTGTTGGCCATTTAACACTGCATTAGGCACCCCGTGTCAGTAATGCAACTCGAACCAAGTAACCAGCCACAGCTGTTGATCTGGTAGAGGGGTCATGTACTTACAGCCTAAACCAAATCCACTACATTAGTCGTGTAACTAGAATCAAGCAGCTAGCTGCAGCCTTTTCACTGCTGGATAGAATGTGCACTTACGTTGCAAACAGAAACACCATTAACCTGAACCAAATCCTCTACATTAGCATATACAAATTAAACCAAACAACTAGCCCTAGCTGTGAAGTTGCTGGGAAGGTCATGCACTTACACAAAGTTTACAGCCAGAGTTTTGACAGGCTTGAGCATTGGTGTAACGAAGGTTCACACCACACTCTCGCTTCTCCAGTCCAAATATGTCATCTGCTGTTAAGACGGTTGGTCCGGCAATAGCCATACTGAAGAAAATCGTGAAGAGGATGGTATATTTCATGGTAAAGATGAAGAAGTGTTATAACAATGATTATAAGAGTGCGTTAAGAATTGTTGCATATGTAGATGAAAAAGTAATCGACAAGATGGATGTTTATATAATGTGTTTGTTCCGGAAGTGGCGACTTAGAGAAGACCGTGCACTCATTGACTCAAACACGCATGATCAAGTGCGCTCAAATTACCGAAATCATCTAGCCTAGGCCTTCACGGGCCAACGAACCTAAAATCAGTGGTTTTAGGATTGGCGGCTAGTGTACAGTACCTACCTGGCGAACTCGGCTTCCCCTTGGAACGCCGTTGAAACTCGGTATGCGCCACACTACAAGCAAGGATTATCACGCCCATTAACCACATTGATTTCTCAGGCGCAATGCACTGCAGTATTAAGCGCGGGCGAGCAGCGTTAAAAGGCCGACACAATAGCCGATCTGCTAGGTGGAGGAAAGGGGGTGGTCAGTGCTGGCTAAAAATACGAGCCCTGTTGTTGATCATTAAACGTTCCTAAAAGGTAGTTGAATTGTATACAGATCTTAGCTATGTTAAAGATAAGGAATGTCTTCCTGTAATTCAATGCTCCTTCTGTAGGGCGCCCCAGTTCTCTAACCTGTACTAACTACCCCCTGTAACATGATCCCTGCTTGCAGTGTAGTGCATACTTTGTTTCAACGGCGTTCTAAGGGGAACCAGAATTCGCTAAGCACTGTACAACAGCCCACGGGACTAGATTGAAAGAGCTGGAAGTTTTGTTTCGGTCCATGACAGCAAGTACCGCACAATCCTGCATCAGGGGCCGAAGGATATGAAACCACTTGGGATGAAAGCACTTTGACTAATACTGCCCCGGCGTAGACTCCTTGAGCAGGAACCCACATTACATGAACCTACGCGGTATAACCCCACTCCTGTACACTGGTATAACTTATACTAGAGATGTTGATGCCAGAGTACGTTAAGAGCTTACATGGGTTGAGGTGACGTCCAGGGTCCGTACTTGGTACTTGCGCCCTAGTTCTATCCACGCTGCGACGTCCCTACACTTCCCCTAACACTTCTCATCAATCTCTGCAGCTATCACTAGGCTCATATCTGAAAGCGAGAAAACACCATGATTACTGTAGCATGCACGGGTTCTGGGCCCTTGTTGTGCAGCGCTGCTGGCCATGCTGTGATTTTACCGTCCATCTACACCAACTACTTGGCCACATTAGTCGCTACCGCGCTTCCATGAACTATAGCGTGACTTGCTCGACGATTTATCATGCCATCTCGCACGTGAAAGATGGTTGTCTGTGCACACACATACATTTCTGTACGCGCACACACAGCTCTTCTATGTGGAGAGCGCTCCTCCACTGCCTTCCTAGAGTGAGTATGGAAAACAAGGCTATCTCTTGAAGTCGGCGCTAACTAACCTAACAAGCATTGCCACTCCCGTACGCATCGGACCGTGTGGACAACATGCTCCTACCAGTTCCGCATAGGTACCATGCTACAGCCGGCGGTACGGAACAACAGCGCCTTAATAACTGGAGGTGTTGGTGTTCTGAAACAATTAAGTATAACGTCAGTGTTGGGAGGTTGGTTGGTTGGTTGGTATTCATTTTACGTCTAGATAATAGGGATTAAGTCCACTATCTCGCCTCCCAAAGGGCATATACGACGTGCTAAGCTATGGGATTACAGTGCTAACACACTACCTTAGAAAGCATTTCTTGCCTGCGCGGGTATTGCTACTGTTTTAAGCTACAGCTCCCCCGCCAGTTGGGGAGACTAAGCAGTGTAGATACATTAGGGTGAATCCCTTTTGTGTGTTTAAAGGCAGTAGAATGCCGTAAGAGTAGAAGAGAGAGGGAGAGTAAGAAGGAGAGTAAGGAAAGAGTATAGTTGTTTACTGCTGTCACAGCACAGGGTGAGCTACTAGGGGCAGACCTTAGTGTAGTATTAAGTAAGTTGGGTGAAGGCTTTAAACGCCTCTGGATCCCTAATAAGCACACTAGTATATGCTACGCCTTTGCTAGCTGGATAGTATATCGGGAAAAGTTTTTGATTTTCGTTCGTTGCGGCCAGTCGCGGCATGGCCATGCAACGGCCATTCAACGGCCCCAACGGCCTCAATGTGCCAAAACGTTGCCAACGGCCAAAACGCTGAGTGCCTATATTCAACGAACTTGTAACGACGTTGCAACGTCATTGCATGGCTACCCTCAGTTCTGCTAGCACTGCTAGCAGCTAGCATTAAATATTCAAAAATTGCGAAATTTCACGTACAGATAGAGCGAAATTGTAGCTTCAAAATGAGCGAAAAATAATTGTTGTAGGCCTACTGCAACGTGAGTTATAGAGCGCTGAAGGTTTGTTTGTTGAAGGTTTGTGTTTTGAAATTGCGACAGCACACCATACCGGTACCGGTACCCGACTGCCCGGCCGTCCGAGCCGCCCGGCCGTTCGAGCCACCCCACCAAAACAACAACCAGACTTCAACACGCGATAAATCTATCAATATGGGCTCAATTGAGGCAGCAATTGCAGCAATCAAATTGCTAGAACCAGGAGAACAGTTCAGCTATCGTAAAGTTGCAGCAGAGTATCACTGTTACTGTACAACGCTCGCGTGGAGGCATCAAGGCATTGCAGGCTCACGCAGTACCATGGCAGAAAACCAGCAAGCGCTCCACCCCCAGCAAGAGCAGGAGCTCTTACGCTATATTGAGCGCCTTACAAGGCAAGGCCTACCTCCCTCACAGCCTATAATACGACGCTTTGCTTTGGAGATTACAAAAAAGAGCTTAGAAAAGGCTAGGTTGATTAATATATCCAGCGCCACAACGTCCATCTCATCTCACGCTGGACCACTGGCATCGATCGCTCGCGCCACCAGGCTGACTCTCTATCAAAGTATAGCCTCTACTTTGAGCTTCTGCGCAGCAAGCTCAGCCAATACAATATTGAGCCTCATGATATAAGTTAACCTAAACTATCACCGAGTGTCCCACATCACCGAGTGTCCCAAAACTTGCCAAGCCCTCTACCTACTCTCTCTCTCTAACATGCCTCAACTACCAAACGTGTTATTACTTGAACATGAAGGGAGGCTTCAGCTTGCTATTGAAGCCTTGAAATCCGGACAATTCTGAAGCCACCAGGCTGCTGCAGAGGCATTTAACGTTAATTGCCGTACACTCTCTCGTCGCGTCCAAGGACTCACATTTCGCGCAGAAGCTGCCCCCAACTGCCAGAAGCTCACTGCGACTGAACAGCAGACGATCATCCGATACATACTCGACCTCGACTTGCGAGGATTTGCGCCCCAGCTGTGCGAGGTGGCAGATATGGCTGATAAACTGCTGGCTGTACGCGGTGGCAAGCCTATTAGCAAGTGCTGGGCTGATCGCTTTGTAACGCGCTCGCCTGAGCTCAAAATGGCCTTCAATCAAGCAAAGGATAGGCAGAGAATACTCTAGGAGGATCTAGAGATAATTGGCGCGTATTTTAAGCTAGTGGAGGAGACTAAAGCCAAGTATGGTGTCCACAATGACAACGTGCACAACTTTGATAAGACTAGCTTCTAGATGGGCGTGATTGGCTCTATGAAGGTCGTCACAGGTGCAGAGAGACGCGCCCGACCTGCGCTTGTTCAGCCAGGCGATCGCGAGTGGGTTACAGTTATCTAGAGCATCTGCGCTGCTAGGTACGCGACCCTGCCCTTCATCATCTACAAGGGACGCGTCCACATCTCTGCCTAGTACAAGGAGGCTTTAATACTGCGTAATTAGAAGCTCTTAGTCTCTAACAACAGCTAGACAAACAACACACTTAGTCTAGAGTGGTTGAAGCACTTTAACGCGCATACAAAGACGCGCTAGGTGGGGGGGTACTAGCTGCTTATTTTAGACGGCTATAAGAGCCACCTTAACCAGCATTTTAAGGACTACTGCCTTGAACACAAGATCCTAACCCTCTGTATGCCCCCCCATTCATCGCACATCCTCCAGCTGCTTGATGTGGTCTGCTTCTTGCTGCTGAAGCGCAGGTACTCCCAGCGCGTCAGAGACTTGGCACGCTAACGCGTCTTCCATATTAACAAAGAAGGCTTCCTCCCTGCCTTTAAGGACGCGTTTTTTAACGTGTTTACAGAGCAGAACTGTTAAAAGGCTTTTAAGGCAGCAGGGCTAGTCCTAATCAACGCGCAGGTTGTATTAGATCACCTTAAAGTGCAGCTGCGTACCCTGCTAGAACCCCTCCTCCTAGAGACGCCATGGCAGTCAAAGACTCTAAGCAATACCTATAAGTTTAGATCTTAATTAAAGCTTGTACGCGATTCCTTTACTTGCTCGCCTGTTACAGCTTAGGCTGGTTTCTCCCAGCTTATAAAAGGTGGTGAGCTGATGCTGCATGAAAATGCGCTTTAACGTGCTCGGATCCATGAGCTTGAAGAGCAATTATGGGTGATTTTCGAAATACCATGTACATCATGTGATTTAGCGCGCGGAAGATGCAGACAATGTCAATGTTGCTGTCTCAGCCAAATTTAGCGTTTAACAACAACAGAGCTAGCTGCTGCTCCTTCTAGGATAATTAAAGCTTAATATTATTAGTATCTTAACTTCTTGTAGTGTTGTGATGCCTACAAGAAGGTTAACTTAGCAGAAAATTAATAAGCTAGCACCTAAATTAACACAGGAGGCACCCGCACCTACAACACTAGCAGTATCTAGTTAGCGTTAGCGCATTGCAACTCAGCTATTTAGAAGTTGTTGTACAAAGCCTAATTATTAGAGTGTCTTTTAATTTAACTTTTTAGCTGCTTAAAGCTCTTTGTAACGACGCAGGCAAGAAGAGAGATATCCAGAATAGGTGTGAATCCGCTACGAGGCATATAGGAGTGCTAGGATGATAAGAACACCAGGATATATTCTCTACACCTATAGGTCTTGTACAAAAGGATACAGAAAAACTACTCTACAATGCTACAGTTCCTTGCTCCTTATATATAAGGGTTTGGTGGCAGTTTAGTGTGAGCTTATGCCATGCGACAAGGGCCATGGTCATGAGTTGCTAGAACCGTATCCTAGTGGTATCGGGTCACTATTCGTAGAGCGTTGTTACACTCTTCTTAGTTAGATTGTAGTTAGGTAAGTATAGTAGAAGGTACTCTAGCTCCACCTTATACATTGCACAAAGCTCACAAACCTAAGTTAATTAATAAATAGAGGTGTTGTCTAGTATAATAACAGAGTACCTAGGTGTTGTATATAGCAACACAGAGCGTTTAAGGAAGTCCTCTATAATCTCTAAGGTAATTAAGCTTTAAAAAATAGTGTAACTAAGGTATCTGTTAACTGTTATTGCTGGCAGAAGTGACTATTGCTTACTCTGTTTTATAGAGTAAGCTACTTCAACAGGCGTGCTAACTCTACTCTAACTATACTTACAGTCGCTAGTCCTCTTGTTGTAAGCGCTCTCGTTAATCGCAATGATTTACTCCGCCTTATGCTATTGCATCCTCGCTCTGTACACCCTCTAGAGTGGCTCGCTTTGCTCAATCGCACGCTTTGTAGCCAGCTTCCTGCTGTAGTGAAGCTTCTCCAAAGCCCGCCACACTGTCGATAGAGAGCACTCCACGTCGTAATCGTTGTATAAGCACTGCTGCATCTCCTCCAAATAGGCGCCGGGTCGCCCATCGAGGTACAATTGGAGTGCTTCTAGCTGCGCTTGCTGCAGTAAAGGCGGGCGGCCGAGCCTGACAGAAGGCGGAGGATAGCACTGTCCCCAGTACTCCAAGCTTAATCGCAGCTTTGCTACAGT